GTCCTTCTGTTTGAAGAGAAACAGCAAAGGGAAGCTATGATTTGGATTAGTATAAAGGCAAATGAGTGGCGGTTTTCCTTTGCTTTATTTCCCTTTCATTTCTTCATAAACCACATAAATATCTAAAGCAGACATTAGAAAATTGTCTTGTAGAGTTTATAATGTACGTATATATGTATAATATATATAACAACTACAACATAAAATATGAGGGAGAAGGTTCTGAATTTATACAATTGCAAGATTTCCATACTTTCCAGATATGGTATAATAATAAGCCCATGAAAAGTTAAAGATATATATTATAATCACTAAGGCAAAATTAAAAATAATTAAAAGATGGGAGGTTGGGGAAAATGGGTAGCTAATAACAATGAATAATAACAAAAATGAAGACAATTTTCTAAAATTGATTATAGTGATGATCGCACAGCACTCTTAATATTTTCAAAACATTGAACTGTATGGTGGATGAATGATATGTCAATAAAACTGTTAAAAATAAAACTTACCTAAATTAAAAAATAATGTACAGCTAAAAATCTCTTAGCATGAAATATAGAAACTTGCAGTAGCCTTCCATGAAAATTATTGAACAAAATTGTAAGATATTATCACATTTATTGAATATCCTTGAGGAAATGACTTGGAAAACATTTTGCATCCATAAATAAAGTCCTCTCCATATACACAATGTTGTTTACAGTTAGCCATGACTAGTTTTGTCTATCATCACCCTCAGACTACTTTCTCACCCCAAAGTATATTTCTTTCTCCTGAGGAGCAGCTCATGGATTCAAACTGCTAACTCTGTGGTTAGCAGCTCAACTTACAGCCCACTATGCCACCAGGACTCCTCTTGAATTTGTAGCATCCATCAAATATGGGATTGGCATAGGCAGTCAACCTACCTTTTGTGATGAAGGCAGGCCCCCATCACAGGTCACACAGTAACTCAGGTGACCAGGGTTCCCTGTACCACAGGTAGGGCAGATTACCTTCTCCTGAAAACAAGATAATTAGAAGTTCATGCTCTTCTGAGAAAACAGCCTTGCAAAGATATCATCAAGCAACCTTTTCACTAATCAGCCAGCAACAAACAAAATCCCAATTCACTGCCACTGAGTTGATTCCGTCTAACAACTACCCTATGGTACAGAGTAGAACTGTCCCATAAACTTTCCAAGGTTGGAAGTCATTACGGAATTGGACTACCATGAAGTAACTGACAGCTTTGAACTCCTAACTTTTGGTTAGCAGCTGCACACTTCAACCACTACAACACCAGGGCTCATAGATCCTGAAATACTAGATTGATTTAGGACTCATTACAAAATACATAGTGTCTGAAAAATGGACATAGCTTTTAAAAGAAACAAAAACCAAAAAAAAAATAAAGAAAAATAATATTCATTTCATCCTACAAAGGTAATTGAAACATTTGCACTGATCACATATAAGGTTTTATTTATTTATTTTTAATGTGGAAAACTTCACCATCTAGGCTGTTTCATGGTTCGAAGAGTACATAGAACAGTCCAAGACCAGCAGCAATCTGTGTATTTACTAGTTCTTGAACTGGAGTTTAAGCCCATAGAGCTTTATGTTAAACATGAAATTAAGTTTCCTCTATAGCTCCTCACTTCAAAATTAAAGGAATGCAAAGATTACTTTATAAAGTTTTCTTAGAAAGTTAATTATCAGCTTACCCTTCCATCCAACAATACCTATTTACTTAAGTGAAATTTAAAATGGCTAAATAGTCTAACAGAGCTCAGTTATCAGATGACTGCTAATGTCTATTTAAGTTACTAAGGAGCCTTGATGGTGTAGTAGTTAAGGCTGCTACCTGAATGGCAATTTGCTTGAACCCATTACCTGCTCTATGGAAGAAAGACTTGACAACCTGCTTCTGTAAAGATTAAACTCAAAAACAAAGAAACAAACAAACAAAAGATTAAACTCAAACTAACTGCCCTCAAGTTAATTCCACTCATTGCAACGTTATAGGGCAGGGTACAACTATCACGTGGGTTTTTGAGACTGTAACTCTTTACAGGAGTAGAAAGTCTCATCTTTCTCCCATGGAGTTGCTGGTGGTTTCAAACTGCTGGCCTTGTGGGGAGCAGACCAACACATAACCCACTAACCCACTAAGCCACCAGGGCTCCTTCTATAAAGATTATAGCTTTGGAAAACCCTATGGGGCAATTCTAATCTGTCCTACAGAGTCACTATCATTCAGAATGGCCTCAACAGTAATAGGTTTGTGTTTTGATATTTAGTTACTGGATGATTCTGTTAGTATAGGACACTATATTTTTTGATTATCAGATCACTGATGCTCAAATGCTGCTTACCACTCTAAGAACCATGTTATCTAGGTGAAACTGATATACTTAATTCGGAAGTTGTTTCAGGGAACCAGGCAGATCAAAAACTAAAAGCCCAGATCCTAGGATTTAGTCCAAGGTCATTAGCAGCCTCTTGAAGTGTTCAGCCTTTGGAAGTGTGGTCTTTCTAGGACCACAGAGGCAAATGAAGAAATGCAGTTCTGACCCCAGAGTACTCCCAACGTGCAGAGGTAGCCTAACTGTTAGTCACAATGGCAGAGAATCACAGTCTTGCTTTCCACGTTTCCTGACTTTCATTGGTTTCAGGATTTCTCCAAGTGGTTTAAAGGCTCAGCAGATTTGTAATAGCCAGGGTATGTCTGTGAGATTTTGTGCTGCCATATTCCTAAAGAAGTTTCCTTAGAAAAAAAAAATCTGGTGAAACTCACTGGAAAATAAAATGAAATTTCTTACTTTTGTGTTTAAAAATACTAAGATTAAAAAAATAATAACTTGGCAAAAGCTTGTGGCAGGAAATAATCTAGAAACAGTAGTTCCTATGTTGTTAAATGTCAGTGAGTCAGTATCAACAATAGCAACCCTATAAAAAAGAACAAAGCCCAGTCCTGCACCATCTCACAATTGCTTCTCTGCTTGAGCCCATTGTTGCAGCCACTGTGTCAATGCATATCATTAAGGGCCTCCCTCTTTTTCGCAGCTCCTCTACTTTACCAAGCTAGTCCCTTCTCCAGGGACTAGC